TTGAACTGAATTGAACAATGACCAATATGTCATATGTTTCTCTTCGTTAATCGTATCTAACCATTCCAATTCATGGTAACAAATAATTCGAAAAACTTGCTTTGAGCCAAACAATATCACTGTTGTCGCGATCCAAAGCCCACACAAAGCCACTTTTCTGCACCGCCATAACGACTTCACGCAATCTTCTCCCCGACCTTATAGCAAGTAGCATTGGAGCCTCTCCAAATCAGCGTCCAGTTCGGGCCGGGAGGACAGTCAGGATTAGTGGGAACCAAACACACAAAGTAGAAAACATCGTATCCTCCAAGTTGCTTAGCCCACAAAATCCTCCCTATGATAGTATCAAAAGCTAGTAGAAAATTAAAAAGAACAACAGTCCCCAGAACACTGATTTAGTTGACTTGGTGGTGTCATTGGGTTTTTCTGTGCCGCCTGACACCAGAGGACGTCCCATGAAGCTTGGTATAGATTGCTTGCTCTGCTATTAATAAGGCGTCTGGCTATGTCACGGGAGGGGCTGCTCCCCCATATTGCTGCCACAAATAGCCCCGAAATTTGCCACCATTGTCCAGCGGGATGTATATTTGCATATTTTTCCATTCCGTATGTCTAGCTTTAAGTGTAGATGCTCCCATAGAGAATGCTCTAAGAAAAGGAAAAACAATGTTTTTATAAAAATCATTTGAATCTTGTTGTACATCAAAATTAAGGCAATTGACAAATAAGTTCCACAGAGACAAAAATGGAAAAAAAATACAAAACAACGTTATTTTTATAACAAATAAGATGGTGAGTTGTGGAAGCGAAAACCAGAGGAAAACTAGAGAGAAAAATCGGAGAAAATGCAGGGAAAGAAGACGAACACAAACGTCAGTATGGATTTGGTTACTTATTGCTACACTAAAAGGAATGCCTACTATGAAAGAGAGGGGGATGATATAATCTTACCATTATACAACAAGCGTCTCCTCAATATCCTTGTACTGCCTCATTTTGTTAAACTTAGAGATTTGTTCTAACATATATCACCCAAGAAAAGCAGGAAAGCTGATGAACCTTGCTGTAACTGTGGGTTATATAAAGAACACAGAATCAGAATCCAGGCCACCGTATTTTCCATCTTGGTTCTCTACTTATAACCTTCATTTGAGCAAGAAAAAGGAATGTAATTTCTCTGCTATATTCTGATCTTGTACACAACCAAAAGTAAAGATGAAAGTGATAGGCCAAACAACGAAAATTTTATTCTCTTTTCACAATTTATCCTACATTCATGTCCAGGTTCAGTTACTCAAATGTATTTTACGTATTCGTCAGATTAAATTGAGTGTCCAAACTTTTCCGTTCTTCTCCATATGATCATTACACGAATTCAGCTTACTATAAATAGGTAATATATCTTGGCCAATTTAGCAAAGGGAGAGTGAAAAGCCGTCAGGTTTGATCTGGAGTTTCCTCAATACACTTCAGAATTTATAAGAGTCCCTTTTTTGCTTAGGGACCGACAGCTACACTGAAGTGTTTGGGGGAACTCTAGGTTTCACCTGACATGAGAAAGTGATTAATTATATGTCTATTAATTGTATAGAATTGCATTAGGTTTCATTTGGAGTTCCTTCAAAGCACTTCGGATTCTACAAGGGCCCCTTATTTGCTAAGGGTACCGATAGCCTCACTGAAGTGTTTGGGGGAACTCTAAGGGCCACCTAATACAGAGAATTATCTATATAATTAATTCTTATTGACGTCATAAAACTTCTCTCAAAGTACTCAAGAAGGAAGTTAAAGTTCTTTTCACATCCCTAATTGAAAGACTAAAATTTCTATTTCTTCTATGTTTGTCCAA